AAGTGCGTTTACAACGTATGCAAATGCACACGATGAGCTGTCCTTGTTGGTCGAGGACTCTGAGGTTGAGTTAATGATTGACGCCTTGGAAGAGGTATCTCGGACGTTCATTAAAATCAAGGGGATTTTGCAAAGTACATTAGACTTAAGGCAAACTACACACGAACCTCAAAACGAAAATTCACTTAGCGAACAAGGGCAACAATCCATCAGGTTACCTCCCATGAACCTGCCTACATTCACAGGAAAATTGGAAGATTGGTATGCTTTCCACGACCAATTTTCATCTGTTATTCACGTTAATAAATACATTGACAACACCAGAAAAATGCACTATTTAAAATCATGTTTATCAGGAGAAGCGGCTAATGTAATTGCATCATTATCATCGACTGGTAACAATTATCTGGAGGCTTGGTCTTTGTTGACAAACCGTTATGATAATGAACGTCTTGTTCTACAAGTACACTTACAACATTTGTTCAATCAACCACACATTCAGAGTGAAGCTGTTAGCTCCTTGAAGGCATTGGTTGATACAACAAATAAACATCTTAGAGCATTAAAAGTATTAAAACAACCCACTGAGTCTTGGGATACAATTATAATTTACCTTATATCATCCCGTTTACCAAGTGAACTCAGAAAAGCATGGGAAATTGAATCATCTGCCTATGAGTCTCCATCTTGGTTACAAATGTGTAAATTTATGGAGAAAAGAATACACGTGTTAGATTTATTACAACTACAATCATCCAGTACACCCAGATCTAAGCTTACCAACAAGTGCAACAGTCGAGCAACAACTCATGCTGTGACTGCAGCACAAGGTAATAAGCAGCCGTGCAATATTTGTTCACAGCATCATATTATTTATCAGTGTAATTTATTTATGAAGTCAACAGCGAGTGAGCGACATGCATTGACTAAGAAGGCCAAATTGTGTATAAATTGTCTACGGGCCTCACATTCTTCCAGTCAATGCTCATCTGATAAAACATGTAAAGAATGTGGTGGTAAACATCATACACTTTTACATTTTGGTGACTCTAAGGGAGAAAACAATACTTCTGAAGTGCCCACGTTGACTCTCAAGACACAACCATCGACATCTAGTGGAATAGACACTGTGGCAGTTAATCATGGTGCCTTAAGAGAAAAGTCAACGGTCATATTATCAACAGCAGTGGTGCGCGTGTACGGACCAAGTGGACGGTCAGAACTATGCCGTGCATTAATAGACACTGCATCTGAATCACATTTCATTACTAAAGCCTTAGCAAGTCGGTTAGGTTTAAAAACATTGCATCAGCCAATGATAATTGATGGTGTATCAAATGCTTCTACAACCACATCTCAAGTTTCCACGTTCAATATTTCTCCTAGGACCAATGGCAAACAAATGACGTTAACTGCCTTAGTGTCTCCTAAGATAACTGTGGATCTACCCACTGCAGCCGTGGATGTTTCACAGTGGACTCATTTAGAGCAGGTTGAGTTAGCCGATCCAACATTCCATGTGCCCAACAAAATCGACTTACTCATAAGTGCTGAATACAGTCTGGATATAATGCTCGATGGTAAAATACAAGGACCCAAAGGTACGCCGTCGCTACACAACTCTATCTTTGGGTGGATAGTATGTGGAAAATTATCTAAACCCCACAATGAACTATCAATGTTTAAGTCGGTCACGTGTTTTACCACGACGGTTGAATCACTTGTGAACCGATTTTGGGAACTGGAAGAGGTACCACGCCTCACATGTATGTCCAAAGAAGACCAACAGTGTGAAAAGCATTTTGTTGAGACATTTACGCGAGACAGCTCTGGTCGTTACACTGTCAGACTTCCTTTTGTAAAAGAACCACCGCTAGTGAACAATTCTTACCAGCTCGCTGTTCAACGCTTAAAGAAAGTTGAGAGAAGTCTGCAGACCAAACCTGCCTTACACCAACTCTACAAAGATTTTATGAGTGATTATGTAACAGCCCATCACATGACATTAGTAGAGTCCACTAGTCCAAGTCCGATTATATTCATTCCACATCATCAAGTTTTAAACCCATCCAGTACTACTACGAAGCTTCGTGTTGTGTTTGATGGTTCATGCACCATGGACACAGGAAACTCATTGAATGAACTACTCCACAAAGGACAAAAATTACAGAAAGAGGTAATTGACATATTAATCCGTTTCCGTCTACCTCGCTATGTTATTACCGCAGACATTCGACAAATGTTCCGACAAATCTTAGTACACCCCGACGATCGTGTCTACCAAGGTATTGTCTGGCGTCCAAATGAATCTAGTCCAATAAGAAGTTATACCTTAAATACGGTGACGTATGGGCTTATCACATCACCATACCATGCTTTACGAGTCCTGAAGCAATTGGCCTACGACGAGCAAGGGACTCATCCTGAGGCAGCTGCGGTGCTACAGCGAGATTTCTATGTGGATGAGGTAATGACCGGACGAGATGACATTACTGCCACAATCAAGCTACACCAGGAGCTACTACACTTGCTCGCCCGAGGTGGGTTTGAACTACGTAAGTGGGCCACCAACTGTGAAGCAGTTTTAACGCACATTCCGACAGCACTAAGAGCCACTCAACTAACGCTGATCGACCACATGGATCCGTCAATCAAAATATTGGGTATATCATGGAATGCTCAACGCGATACGTTCTCATTTCATGTTGAATCTTCCAAGGTTGGTGAAACATGTACTAAACGCTCATTACTTTCGGAAATCGCGAGGATTTTTGATCCGTGTGGATGGTTAAGCCCACTTGTGATCGTTGCGAAGATCATTATGCAACACCTGTGGAAGAACAAGTTGGATTGGGACGACCCGCTGCCTGACACACTGATCAAATGGTGGTCGGATCATCGATCTTCCTACGGTGCTCTTCGCTTCTTTGAATTACCACGGCATTGCAATGACGAACACACTCAGGTAACCACATATAGTCTACACGGTTACAGTGACAGTTCGGAACAAGCTTATGCTGCTGCTCTCTACCTAGTGTCAGTGTTTCCTGACGGTAAATCATCATCACATTTAGTTCTGTCTAAGACCAGAGTTGCACCTCTTAAGACCCAATCAATACCCAGGCTTGAGTTGTGT